GTTGACTTAAAATACTTTTAAAAGCATTGATGAAACGAAATGGTTTCGTAACCTGATTTTGTTACTTAATATTGTTCACGAAAACCAAATGCATTTAAAAAAACTGATAAGTCTAAAGGTTACAAATATTTCGTAAAAAGATACGCGAAAAAAATAGTTGTATCAACTACAGGTGGTTTTGATAACGAGGAAAACGTAATAGAAATTATGATTATACTTCCACATCTGCATATGACAACTTCTAAATTAAAATGTGTAGATATAAATAACCGAACTCCCAATCACTGTTATTGTTAAGAAGAAGGCTTGTAAATGAAAACTGTACACAAAAATAGAATATAATACATTTCACAACTTTTATTGTGTGAACCCCTTTTAAATAGTTGTAATGTAAGACATTGGCAACAATATACAATAGTAATAATTAGTTAAATGAGTCTAGCATTACTGATGGAATCTATATGATACCCTTGGAAATTGCATTACATTGATGGCGCACAATGTATCCAAAAAAACGTTAACCTATTTATAACAAAAGTGGGTTATCTTGAGTTTACAGTGTAATTTGGAGTGCACTTTACATTCACGTAATATTTTCTTGCTTATAGAACAATGTTAGTTATCAACTAACTCATTACAGCATTCAATGATTAATAATATAACCACAGAAGTATCCATCTTCAGCAATTACCCACATTAAACCCAAAACGATAATCAGTTATAAATAATCAGCTGAATGTTGAATAAAAGCCGATCTATTACCATACACATTTGTAAGGGCAGTGTTAACACTCAAAGTAGAGGTGGATTAATTGTAAAAACCAGTGAGTGAACTTGGATGTAATATAGACCCATACTTATTAATAAAAGCCTATCTATTACCATAAACATTTGTAAGGGCAGTGTTAACACTGAAAGTGGAGGTGGATTAATTGTAAAAACCAGTGAGTGAACTTGGATATAATATAGACCCATACTTATTAATAAAAGCCTATCTATTACCATAAACATTTGTAAGGGCAGTGTTAACACTGAAAGTGGATTAATCGTAAAAACCAGTGAGTGAACCTGGATATAATATAGACCCATAGTAATTAATTTAATTATAAAAACTATATGTAAAGCTATCGAGAAAAAAATTTTAAACAAGCTTAACTTAACGGAAGTTGAGTTTGAGCTAGGGGGATTTTGTTCGCAGCGTTTCAAACGCAGCCGTAAATGGGGGAGAGACGAACGCTCGGCAGACACTAGTGCTCGCAATATATGTAAGATATACGTGTGGAAACTGGGAACTAAGTACAGTTTTCACACGTATATCTTATATTTATTGCCTGTCCGAGCATTCGTCTGTCTTTCGTTTTTCGGCGGCTGCTTCCCGCTCTGCGTTTGAAAAGCTGCGCACGCAAGCCAAGTTCAACATTCACTTTTGAAATGATGAGTGAACGGGCATGAATAATGTTGGATGTACAAGACTGTTTAGCTTAATAGTTATTATTTAGTGACTTAATATTTAATGATTATTTAGTTTTCGTAACAAGAGTGTTAAAAGTAATTATTTTAAAAGCAATAGTCATGGCAAGTTTCGTTACGTAACTTTGTACGAGTCGTAATATTGTTGACGTCATCTTTCTCGAAGTCTTAAGTTTTTCTCCCTATGTGAATATTGTTGCTTGATATTTCTGTATTTTTCTGCCTCGTGTTATAAATACGTGTAGATACAGAGACATCAAGCCAGAAAGAAGTTCAATTAGAAAACATTAAGTTAGTGAAAGTGAAGTTAGACAGCGTGATTGTTAGTTTAGCCATAACGGGCGATATTTAAAGCGAGTTTAACAGAGATAAGGAGAGTAATTTAGTAATACATACATGGACATTGCCCTGAAAGGGGTCGGAGCAAGTGCGGTTTACTCCGACCCTCGTTTAGTACTAACCATCAACATTCAAGGACAACCTATCATGGTACGGAAGGGAGGAAGAGGTCTCAGAGTACCTGACCCTCCTGGGTCACAAAGACCTAAATTCCGATCAGGAGAGGAGAGTAATTTATTTTGTCAAAGGGTGTTGTAAAGTAATTTAACCCGCCTGTGTGGACTTTGACAAAAAGGAGACAATTATTTAAAGTTCGTGGTAACCCACGGGTAATGCGAGTGAACTTATCACTGATTTTATTGTAAGTAAGGAAGGTAAAGAATAATTCGTCTTTTCAATTGAGTTCTAAAGTAACCGAAATAGCCCGTGTTGACTTTTAACAAGAAAAGAGAATTATTTAGAGTTTTTAGATACAACTGTAATACCCTATAGTGTAAATAATTATGTACATACGTTTGACTTCTATTAAATATATTATTTTAAATCAAGTGGATTGTGTGCTGTCCGTTTATTGTTCGAATTTATCGCCAACAAGTCACAGATATCTGCTGTAAAGAATCCTAGCCCATGTACATAAAATCCTGACAACTATGTTGTTAGGAATTAATCACATTATCATTCACATTTAAAAATGTAACGTAACTTAAAGAATAAAAATGTAGATTTACCGTATGTTATTGTTGGACGTCTCTTAGCATGACTGAAATGTTCAACAATTACTTTTCGCGACGGGCGGTATAAGTAGCCTAGCTCTGAGTGAAACCAAGAGTGCAACACAATTAACCTTTTTTGAAGTCCATGAAATAATTTAAATTTATAGATTAACTTAAACTTTTCCCATCACTGGGGACGGTTACTTTTACTTGTAGAGTAAATGATCCAGGAACGAAGTATGGTCCGAATGTAGTCTTTCACATAAAAAAAAAAAAAATTGATGTTGGTTTAAAACAGTTTTCAAATGAACTTGTATCTAGTATTAATAGTTTACTGAGTTGATTTTAAGAATTAAGCTGTGTTTACCTAAACAAGGAAGACAAATATACGGGACATTTAGGTATAGCAGTCTGTTTAGTTTTCCTGTGTATTGAGTTTCCCATTCAAAAAATCACGAATGATAGTTTAAAGAAAACGCCCTGTGTACCAGTTTTTCTAAAGAGAAAGATGTGGAAATTTTATTTCATTGTGGATAGAGAAATTAGAACAAATGTTAGAAGCTAGTGAGTAAACAAGTGATCAGGTTACGTTTGTAGAAATAGAGGGACTCTGGAAGCGGGTATAGAAGACGTTGAAGGTTTTCATGCGGTATGTAGACGTAGAAGAACCATTAGCGTCACGGTTTATAAGGATGTTCAATAAAGACACTGTGGTTTTACTCAGTTTCACAAGTAACATTTACATTGGACTGACAAGAGTTTAAATATTCTAGAAACTTGGGGCATGAACTTTAGAACGGAATGTAACAAAAGTAACGTACATACCTTCTTTATTTATGCAAACCTTGTTTTATTTCTATCCCTCAATATTCTTTGCTTCAGGATCTCCTTAGAACTGAATTTTCTAAATTTTTTTTTCGTTTCATGAAATATCCCTTTTTAATTCGTTTCACTGTATCAAGATTCAAACATTCTGTTCTAACTGGAGATCAATATTGTGAGATTAAATACACAGTAACAGTGTGATATTTTTATTATACCACGAGTTTCTATCCCTTTTTAGTGTTATAATATTTATTCTGAATTCAGTATTTATTCAGAATATTTCATGTAATAGGTGGCCAAGGAAACTGTTAAGCTGATTTTTTTTCAAGTTACCTTTGTTCCTGTGTTGTTCTCAATAAGACAATAGTAATAATTTGCATAATAGACTTAATACTAATGCCTTTAATGTAAATATACTTATTTCACTGTAGGTTGAAAATTATCCTTGCCACACTCTGATAAAGATTTCAAATATATGTTGAAGCCTTAATTATCCTATTGTTTCTTCATGTTTATTTATTGACCAATCAAAAATCATTAACTGGTGCTACAAAATCATTAGGTTTGAAATGTGCTGAGAAAGATATTAAGAAAAGTCATGAATGTTGGTCATTAAATTACTTGTTTACAATAATTTTGCTGGTGTTTTCTCCTTGATGCTCATCAGATTTTGATGACTAATTATAAACATTTTCTGGTAAGGCATGCTGTCAAAGTTACATGCAATTCAAATGAATATTTATGTTCATGTAAGTAAACAAAAATTTCTCTTTTAATAAAAACAAGAGTATAGAAATATTTTTTTAAGGAAACAAAGTTTTATCTCAGCTTGCATTCCTTGCTCGTTTCGCATGTACAGAATTGGTTTTGTATATATAGAACCTTTTTCATTTGCTTTCTGTTTGCTTCATATGTAAATTGGTTTACTTTGTCACATTTGTAATCTTGTGTGGTCTAAAGGTTTTCATATAGCTTTGTAAATGAGGTTAGGGAAATTCACATTGTGGTTTCTAACGTACTGTGCTACAAACTAAAATGTTTAAGGCAAAATTTGTCATTTTATTCTGCAGTTTCTGTTGTATTGTGCTACAAACAAGAACTTCCAAAAATTAGGCCTATTAAACATACTTTTGTAATTTACACATATATAAGTAATAAAATATAGCCAGGAGATCAAGTTAATGTAAATTTGTAACTGTGTAACTACTGACAGTTTAACATTCAGATCAAATGTATATAATTTGGTACCTTTATGTACATACAGACTGTAACATTGAAAACAATAAGATTATAAAGAAGTAATTTTGTTACTTAATGTAAGTGGTGAAAAATTAAAAAGTCGGATAAAGTACACTAAGATCATCAGTATGAAGCACAAAACTTCTCTGCACCTTTAAGGCATATAAGTTTGATATCTTCTTGTTTAAACATGATGACATGATAGTTATAGAACTGTGGTTTCTATTTTAGTGGAAACTTATAAGAATGCACAGCCATGTCAAGCTATGTAGATTTTTTTTTAATATTTGTGATTTTAGTTTATTTATCAATACTTTTCATGAGAATAATGCAAAATAAAATTTAAAGTTAATTTTTTGTAGAGTATTTAGTACTGTTTTTGTGTGTTAACTAATCATGTTTTACCTGTTCTAGGTGTTAATATTAAAACTCAACAAGGAGGGTCCTTACAAGAAAGATGTATTTCGAGCACCTGGGCATCAAGGAAACATGAAGAAACTGGTTCATTTTCTTCAGCATGGGCGTCTTGTCAATATTGACAATTTTTCAGTATACACAATAGCTTCTGTATTAAAGGTAAGATTTTGTGCTTTTCTTTCATCAGTGGATATTAACTTTGATTATCTCGTGGTTACAGTAAAAGTTACTTTTGAGCAAAACTTGAAATGACTTGGGTAATGACATATTATATAAAAGCAAATCAATAGTTCTCAGTTTGTAAGATTTTACTAATGTTTTAAAAAAGATAAAACAATTTAGGCCAATTACTCATTAATTGCTCCTTCACTGAGTGTTTTGATATCTTAATTGTTTAATTTTGGTTGCATTCACAAGTTAACAAGCTAGTATTCAACCTATTATAGTTTTTATAATAGAGATTATTTGTGAAACTATCTGTGCTGAAAACAAAATTGATGAGGCATGGTTAAATGGAATAATTTCTTATTTTTTTTCTTGTATACCAATACTTTTTAGTGCAGTTTTCTACAATCTGGCTTTGAAAATAAATATATAAAGAAAGTTGAAATATGAATTTCAATAGGTTGAGAAACTTGTAAATCTCAGCTGCATTGTTTTTCTCATTTACAGATTTATAAAGTGTGATCAGTTTCTAATAGTATAATTTGTATTAGGGAGAATAGCTAACTAATTCATTAATTTCTAAGCAAGTATTTTTCTCATTCAGCCATCCTATTGTGATTACCAGTATACTCCAGGAATAGGAAAATAAGAAATCACTAGCTCTTAAATATAATTTTTTTAAAAACAGTTTTTAATATCTTTGTTTTGTGTACAAATATTTTGATGAAATACTTTCTGTGGAGCCTTGTTACTTTAGATTTATAATAATATACTTCTATATTGATTATGCCTACATTGCTTACAAAAGATGTAGTACACAAGGCTTATAGCATTTAATTTCAGCATGGAATGTTTATTGAGTACATGTTTTGTGAGATTTCATCCACATACTTAAAGCTACTCATGGTAGATGGTGCAACCTTCTGTTATCTGTTCATATCTCTGCTATTAGTTTACCTGTAATTTCTGTAGACTTGCTGCCAGGCATTGTCGAAGACCTTATAGCAGTTAGGGAATAACTTTGTTATTCATCTGCTTCTCTTGGGCACATTAGAGTTATATTCAATACTTTGTATTTGGTTGACACACTTGATTCCTGTTTAGAGGAAGACTAAAAGTTCTGTTGAGTTTAAGAAACAAGTAAGTCATAATTATTTTTCTCACCACTGATCATACAAGTCTTCCTACAAGTTCTTGATCTTTACCAGTGTATACCATTGCCCTACTTCTGTCTGAAATGCTTTGAATTGTACTTCAAAAGAACTGTTATTTAAGTGTCTGTTAAATCTCTTGAAGTTGTGCCAACCACTGGTTCATTACTGTGTCAAGATGCACACTTCTTTTTTTTTTTGGAAAGTTTTATAGAAGCAGCAGAGAGTAATGCCTTAAGTACTTTGTTTTGCTTATACTGCCTTATTCATGATTGGATAGAGCAGATTTTTAACTATTTTTATCATTGTAGAATGAGTAACACGGTTTGAATAATAATTTATGGTTTTGTGGGAAAGAGACTTGGTAGAGCTCAAGCAGGGATGAACAGAAGAATTACTTGGAAAATTTAGAAGACTTAGGAAGAAACCATTTATCTGGGATTTTTTTTTTCTTTGTTTCTTTAAATGTTCTCTTTTTTTTTCCGAAACAGTACTTACCTCTTTGTAGAACATAGCTATCAAGATCTTTTGTTGCATGCAACAAGCCTTGAACGGAACTCCCATTATGTAGACTGTGCCAGCCTATCATTAGACTATAGTCCTCTACCAGTGGGAAAGTGACACAAACCACCTATGTGTAGTAAACCCCAGTAGCACTAGCATTCAATAAAGGTTCATTTTTTGCCTTGACACTGCCTTGTTTAGATATTTTTTTTTCCTTGATATTTAACAGAATATTAAAGCTTACTATCATTCATAATATAGTCTTTCTTTCCTTTATTTTTTGACTATGAGAAAGAAAGATACCAAATTCAAGAATTTCAATTAAAACTTTAATTTGAATTATCTTAAACTTTACTTCTTCCTTTTAAACCCTTGCTTCTCCAGTCCCATGCTGCTGGAAAGGTTGAAATGCAATGCTGGTATGAGACTGGACACACCCCTCATTGGTAAGCAAGACTGGGGTGTTAACCTGGAAGTGTAGTACAGGCTACCTCCTAACTAAGACCCAGACCATTCCTGGTGGTTATTGCCAGCTTGATGGGTCTTGTTTTTTCTTTGGGATGCAGGTTACACAGCCTTCTGCCCTTAACTGAGAATGTATTTCAGATAGATTCTCAACTCCCTGCAGAGCCATCCACTTTTCCTCTTCACTTTCAGCTTGGTTCTTTTCCCTCATTAAGAATGAACCTTTTTTTGTAATGCTAGTGCTCATCAAGTTTACTGTACAAGGAAGATGTGTTGCCCCCTATTGGTGAAGGGCTGTAGTCTAATGATGATTACACCTTATACTGGTGTAGTCAATGTTCATTTGTGTAGTGGTAGGAATTCCATTTAAGGCTTATGGTATGCCCAAAACATTTTACTTGGCAGATGCACGAGATAGTGACTGTTATACAGAGATATGCACATCTATCTGAAATACCTTTTTAGGGAAGGAATATGTTTTCATTTTAAATCATATCTGTTTGAAAAACATAGAAATTTTCTTGTATGACAAGATATCACATAAGTAATGCAATCAGTCTGTTAGTATTTCGTTTCATTTACTTTTATTGTCTTCCTTCAGTATAATTTTACTGTCAGATTTTTTGCTTCTCTCTCTAATTATTCCACTGGAGTAGTAAGGCTTGTTATGGGCCAATTGTATAGATGTGTACTTTTACTTCTCATTATCTGTTTTGATGATATGATAACAAGACTTGCTGGTTCCCATCATTTTGCTGTGAGGATCATAAATTTTTTTCTCCATTTTGGTTCTTCATTTGAGATGCTGTAGCCTTTCATGTACCAGCTTACATGACAAATGCTCACCATACCTCTATGTATGAGCTTGGTCATTTTGACCAATCTTGCAACCACTGTATATCTGCAGAACTATACATACTGTAACTTTTAATGTAATTAGCATATCTTCATGAAATTTAGCAATCTTTTAGTAAATATTACGAGTCTTTTGAACACAAAAATAAGTTTTTAAATAAGCATTGTTATGGAAAAATTTTCTATTAAAATTAAAAATAATTTTTTCATTTTACCATTTTAATTTTCATTTGCCTAACCTCTATAACCTCTTAAATAAATATCAAAAGTTTTTGAAATTCAAAATTTTATATTTTATCTCTTATTTTCTCTACCCTAACACTGTGGACTTGGTCCATTTGACCAAACTTGTAAACACACACACACACACACCCATTTTCTTTCTAGAATGACTGCAGATTGTAGAAGAAAAATTAGCTATTTATCCTAAACAGCCTCAGGCTTGTAAGAGTTTATATCTGTTTTTATTTAATTTTATTCTTTTATTGCTTTTTGAAACAAGTCTAACTACTAAATCTGCATAACAAACTAGAAATCACCCAGTGAATGCATAGTTCAAGCTATGGTATTGAATTAGTAACACACCAGTTTCTCACTTGCACAATTTTTGGAGAAATTAATTTATTATGGTTTAAATTGTTTTCATTTATGTTTTCTTATAAAACTTAACAAATTTCTAATTTTTACATCTTAGTTACTTTTATAACAATAATAAAAAATATACATAAAAACAAGATATTTAGTACTTTTAAGTGAATATTGTACTTTTTTGCAATCAAAGATTTAAGTGTCATCAAAAATTAACCCTCATTTTTGCTAGAGTTGATGTTAGTACTTTACTGAATTTTTCTTTAAAATATTCAACTTGAAACACAAAATAATAACACACACACAAAGCGTACAATGTCCTATAACTATTATAACATAAATGTCTTTCTAACTAAGCTATGAGTATATGAAAATTCCTTTAGCTGGCTGAGCTGAACTTGGCAACAGAAACTTTGAATCTGTACACCAAGTAATTCAAAATCTGTTGTGAAAAGGAACTATCATTATAAGAAAATCAGTAAATCAAAATTTTCTCTTTCTATTGGCTATAAATAATGTAATTGCAAACATCATAGAGAATTGCCGACATTTTTTGAAAGACTGTGTGTAATGGGGGTTGGACTTTCTAGTTTAAGTCCAAGTAAAACTAGATGGTTGTTGGCTATAAAGTTAGATTATGTCTTAGAAATATCTGTAATATAAGTTTGTCATTTATGTTCATTTGGATTGAAAAGATTATCTTAGTTGTGCAATTCAAAGTGACTAATTTTTATATGATACAGGAAAAGTGAAAATTGTTCAATATTCCCATTTAAAATTAAGAAATTAAAATGTATATAATATTAAAATTTTGTTTATTAACTACTTTTTTGATGACAAATTTATTGATAATAAAGTTGTTTAATTCAATTTTGAATGTAACTAAAAATATTGTCACTTACTTTTTATGTATTGGTACACAGAGTGTTAAGTAGCTATGGGCTGGAATAGTGCTACAGCTCTCATCGAGAGGTCTAATATAGTTAAATCTCGTCATAACAGTTTGAGAGCCTCTTAAGTCCTTTCTTGATCATGTGGTTTATATGACATAAATATCAAGTTTTGGTTCTCTGATCGAAAAGACTTGGTTCTGACTTACTATTCTTCTCTTTATTATCAAGATAGTTTTCTGTCTATCTAGAGGTCAGATGCTCTATTTTGACAACAGATATGTTTAGACTGCACTCAAATTATATTTCCAACCTGACATATATTTCTGTAAATTTTTCTTTATGCTCATTTGTCTTTAGAAAAACACTTGAGAATAATATTTTTTACTATAAGCTGTTTACTACACGTTGAGATACAAATAGGTACTTAGTTTTAAAAAAAGAAGCTTATGATCTAAAAAACATTGCTTCAAAATACATTTCTTGAGTTAATCTCATAGAATGCTGGAAGTTATGGGAAAAGTGTTTAGCTTCCTTTCACTTGGTGTACATCTTTGAGGATTAATCCAAGTTTTTCAAACATTTTGCTTTTGTTGTTAAGTAACATTTAGCCTTTTGCTGTTTAGCATTACATATATTTAATAACAAGTAATCTGAACACCAACTCAAGTATTAGAATGAAATATTGAAAAAAATGTAATACCACAGGCTAAGTAAAAGTACATTATTTGAAAATGGTACTTGTTTAATTTTTTCTTCGAGAATTCGTCAGCTGCAAAATATTAATGAATAGTAGTTACAATTCTAAGTTAGTATAGCGTATGTGTTTGTTGAGGAAAACTAGTACCATTTTCAGTAAATTGCTTGTGATCATCATTCTTTTGATATCTTATATATATATATATATTATGTATATAAAGTTTCTAGTTTTTTAATGCATGTTGCAAAAGTGCATATACATTTTCCCACCTTTAAGGGATTGATTATTAATCTTAAAAATTAGAGTAGTGGAGAATTCCCTTTTAGAACTAAGTATGAGAATGTTAGCTAAGATTTTCTTGTAATTTTCTTCACTTGTCTTTATCTGTTAATATACTTATCACACATATGATCACTGTACTGAGTAATTACATATATCTGAGTCATTTTTAAATGTGTGTTAAAAAAGCTAGAAATACTAAATAATAAGTCTTATGGACTTAATTTTTGCTGTGAAAACTATTTATCTTCATATTCTCTATAGAAATTTCTCAGGAAACTTCCAGGTGGTATTTTTGGTCCACAAAATGAAGAGAGGCTCTTCAGTATCATTGATCTCGAAAACACTGATGAAAAATGTGATGAAATTCATAGGTAAGATGTTAGAGGAAGAGATATAAAAACTTGTGTTCCAGTTTCAGTTCCATAACTGTAGTACTTCTTGAATATTTTAAGCACGTGCAATAGAAACTACTGATAAATCTATTTTCATAGTAGTTTTCACAATGGAAAAATCAAAACATTAGTGCATTTTATCACTATATGTT